CACCCTGCAAGCGGGGACGGAGCCACCGGTGTGCCCGGTACCGGGCATCACCCTGCAAACGGGAACCAAGCCCTCGGCATCGCTCAGGCGCTGGGTACCACTTTCCGAGGACACCGTCCCTTGTCCCCAGCTTGGGCATCACAATCCCGTGGGACCAAAACCGTAAGTGGGGGATGGTTGGGGCCAGACCAGGGGTTGCTGGACACCACCCATGGGTGCAAAAAAAACTGCCCCCACTCCCCCAAGAATCCCCCCCCCTGCTGCTGGCCAGCTTGTGAAAGAGCCCCAAAAAAAAAGAAAGAAATCCCCCGGTGACTCATTTGGGCCAACAGCCAGAGAAAGCAGAAGCAGGGGAAGGTTGGTGGGGGCATCGGGCTCCTGTGTCCCCCCCCGGGGGCTAGAAAAGGGGGTGAAGGAATCAGAGGGTGACATTAACCATTTCGTTCCAGGAATGCACCCACCTTCTCCTTAATAATAACGTGATTTGATGAAAAAGGGCAAATAAACAAAAACAGAAAACCACACTTGGGTTTCTATTCCTGGCTCCGGTTTCCATTCGAGCAGAACTGGGGGGTTCTGAAGCTGGGGGGGATGCTGGGGGTCCCCTGCCTCAGTTTCCCCTTCCTGGCAGCTGTGTGCATGGTCCAGCCTGCCGGGACTTGCCATCGACTCTGCTTGCCCGGCTGGGAATATATCAAATTCCCAGGGCAACCTGAGCACCCCTGGGGTGGGATCTGACACCCGAGGGGCTCCACTCCAACAGGAACTCAAGGGAAAGCTTCTCCCCAGGGCAGGGGGTGGTATTTTTTTAATCCCGTGGAAGAGATGCTGGAGGAAAAGGGAAATTACTGAGACTGAAAGATGTCGCTGGGGTGATAACGGCCATCGGTGCATTGAAAGGTGTCAGGGCTCAGCCGGTGTGCAAAGCCCAGTGCCGGCCTCTGCCAGAAAGGGAAAAGAAGGAGGGAAAGGGAAAGAAGGGAAAGGGGAAGGAGAACGAGGGAAAGGGAAGGAGAAGGAAAAGGAGAGCCAAAAAATGCTGCTGGGTACGGCACCAGATTCGGCAGCACTGGCGGCACCCGCATCCCTTTGGGAAGCAAACAGTGGCGAGAGGGTTTGGTATCTCATGGGGCTTTGGGATTGCGGGAATCACCAGCACCCCCCTCCCGTGGGTTAATGTCACTGGTTAATGCTGGTAGAGAAGCGCAGCTCTCTTCTGAAGCCTGACGCTATGAACTCTGAATATAAAGCCGTAAAATAGCTCCCCGGATTTAATTACCCCATGATTAACCCATGTAATAACCAGGAAAACAGCGTCCTCAGAGAGCCCGTATGAGCTGAGCCCCCCCCAACACTGGGGAGATGCTTCACCCACACCAGCACAGGCATTTATTTTTTAGGAGGTAAAAACCGCCTTGATTTCAGGGAGCAGCCAGAGGTGGATGCTTTTGGGTGCTGCTGCAGCACCCTGGGTGCTGGGGGAGCTTTGGGTGCCTCCCATTGAGAGGAGGCTGCAAAACAAGGTACCAGCGGCACTACAAACATCTTACACCCCAACCCTCCTCCAAAACAACAGCACAGCTGCACACCAGCCTAACCACAAGCATCTTTCCAGGGAGAATTAATTAATGGGGCACTAATAAGGCTTAATGACCTCATCCGGGGCATCCCAACACCTGTGGGACCTATTTAAGCTCAGCCTGCCCAGTGAGCGTGGCTGCTGCTGACCCCAGCCAGGGCTGTGCATGGGGCTGTATAAAACAAACAAACAAACAAACAAACAAACCATGCCGTTGTGCACCTATACAAGCACCTGTGACCGTAAAGGACTGTATATCTGCAGAGGGAGGCCCAGGGACCCCCCTGTATACCCAGACACGTGGCTTTGACAGAGGGGTGGGCAGCACCTTTGGCTTTGGTGAGGGTGTAAGGGGTGTGCCCAGCACCTTTGGGTGAGCACGGACCCTTTCTCCCGTCCCGATCAACACCCAGCGGTGGGATGCGACAGGTGGGGAGCGAAGCATCTCCTTTTCAGCACCTCCATCTCACGGCATATCCTGCGCGATCTGGGGCAGTGCTCAGCCCCTTCCTGCCCGCAGAGGAGGAAGAGCGAGGGCTGCAAAGGCTGCGAAGGTGCTTGGTGGAGGAGCTCGAGCCCAGCCACCCCATTTTTCTCTGCATGGAGGTGGCCCCATGGCTTTTCTCCGACGGCTTTTTGGCTTTTCGGAGAAGAAGAAACCACTGAGGCGGTTTGAGCACGTCAGGCGGGATGTTGACCCCGAGGAGGCCTGGCTGGTGCTGGGCGAGCTGGGCGATGGTGCCTTTGGCAAGGTCTTTAAGGTAGGAAAGCACCCCAAAATGCCACTGGTGCCTCAAGGGTTTTGCAAATTATTTGGTTTTAGTGTTGCCTTGTATTGTGCAGCTTCTGGGGTGCAAGAAGCTAAAAAGCCTCTAAACAGCCCCAAATTTCTAGCAGAGGATGGCGGGGTCCTCGCCTGGTGCTGGCTCAACCTTTGGCACAGGGAAAGCCACCGGCTCATGGAGCTGGCCTGTTTGCCAGTGGGTGTTTGCCACCTTGGAGCGAGGGGGTTGAGACGGGGATGTTTTTCTTTGAAACCACGTTCAGAGCCTGAGCGCCACAGGAAACCCAAATTTGCTGCTTGTCAGACCTGCAGCAGCAGCCGCCTTCCGGGGCCGGGGGCGCATGGCGGTGATGGCCCCAGTCACGCCTGGGCTTGCCCTGGCCAAACCCGGCCTCTCTTCCCTCTCTGGCTTTTTGGGGGCAGCCAAATGCCTCAGCATTGCTTGCAGGGTGGGGTTTTGCTGTATAACCACCAAAAGGTCTTTGAGGTGGGGGGGGTTGCTGAGCCCCCATGTGGCTATATTGCATCTGTGGGAGGATGGAGCTTGCCAGAGAGTTTTGGGATATGATGGGATGCTCCAGGACCCACGTGCAGGGTGGCACGGCTGCACTGAGGGCATCGGGGTTTGGGATCCATCAGGATGCTCTGGACCCACACAGAGGGTTTTGGAATGCAGTGGGTTGCTCTGGACCCACACGCAGGGTGGCATGGCTACACCGGGGCCACCTGCCCATCAGCCCCATGCACAAGGCGGCCATACACCCCTCTCCTTCCTGGCTCTGGTGACAGTGGGGTCCCCATGTCTGTCAGGCATTTGGCTCAGCAGCACTGAAGGATGCGACAAGTCCAAACTTCCCCCTCACCAAAAACTGTGGGGTTGCTCCTTTTGTATCCCCCAAAACCTCTCCTACACACCCACCCCCAGGCGCAGAACAAGGTGACGGGGATGTTGGCGGCCGCCAAGGTGATTGACACCCCGAGCGAGGAGGAGCTGGAGGACTATGTGGTGGAGATTGAGATCTTGGCTTGCTGTGACCACCCCAACATCACCAAGCTGTTGGATGCGCTCTACTGGAATGGGCGGCTCTGGGTGAGCTGCAGAGGGTGCTGGTCCCCCCCCGCCCCGGGCAGGGACCAGGGTCCCACCAGCATCTTGGGGCTGGGGGACTCAGTCTGGAGGGGACACGTTTGCAGACCAGGGTGGGAAACATCTCCCTGCAGATCCTGGTGGAGTTTTGTCCCGGAGGGGCCGTGGATGCAGCAATTTTGGGTAAATATTTAATTTTTTTTTTTTCCGGCTGTCACGCAGCCATCGGAGGGTTTGGGGTGGAATTGCCGAATTTCACGGCAAGGGAGGGAGTCCTGGGCTTGTGCAGCATCTCCAAGAAGGATGATGGGTTGGGGTGCCTCTTCCTCCGGGTACCTCCCGGCTTTGCGGGAGATGTTGGGGGGGTGCTGGGCAAGAGGCATCGTTAGCAGTGGGGTTTGTTTGCGCTAATGGCAGAGCTGGAGAAAGGGTTGACGGAGGAGCAGATCCGAGCAGCTTGCAAGCAGCTGCTGCTGGCGCTGCAGTACCTGCATGGCTGCAAGATCATCCACAGGGACGTGAAGGCTGGCAATGTCCTGCTCACCCTCGACGGGGACGTCAAGCTGGGTGAGTCCCTGGGGAATTGGGGGGCCAGTAGCGAAGCCCCAGGGATCCTCTCTAACTGCCGCTTTCTGCTCTGCAGCCGATTTTGGTGTCTCAGCCAAAAACTCCAGCACCGTCCAGCGCCGGGTGTCCTTTATCGGCACCCCGTACTGGTAGGTGTGAGGCAGAAATCCCTGGGGATGGTGGGATTTGGGGGTGCAGGTGGGCTGGGGGAGCCCAGGTATCCCGCTCCTCCTGCGGATGCTTGCAACTGGCTCCTTGACACCCAGAGCATCTCAAGAAACCAGATCTTTCCTCTTCCAACCAACACCAGCTCCAGGGTGGGCTTCTCAGCAGCATGAGACTGAGAAAGGAGAGGACACATGGGGTGCTGGTGGGTGCAAGCTCTCTTGGGGTAGCGTTGGAGGAGTTGGGGGTCTAATCTCGCCTCTTCTGCCTGTAGAGTTGTCTCTGGAGGAGATGGCACCTGGGTTTGGTTTCAGGGGAGATACTAGCCCCCAGCCCAAGGCAGGCCAGACCTGTTTCCCTCTCTCTCACATGCAGGATGGCCCCGGAGGTGGTGCAGTGTGAGACGTCCAAGGAGAGCCCCTATGGCTACAAGGCCGACATCTGGTCCCTGGGCATCACGCTGATCGAGATGGCCGAGATGGAGCCACCCCACCATGAGCTGAACCCCCTCCGGGTGCTGCTGAAGATCGCCAAGTCCCAGCCGCCCACCCTGCGTCACCCCAAGAGGTGGTGAGTCCCCGTGCAGAGATGTCACCCCAACGCCGGTGATGGTGGGGGAAGTTGTCCCATGAGGCACCTCCTGCTTGAAGCCATGTCTGGGCAGCTGAGGTGGGCTCTTGGACCATGAGTGATGCTGGTTGTGATTCCTTCAAGCCCAGCTCCAGAGGTGGCATCACAGGTTTCCCATCACACTACCTTTGCCCACAGAAGGTGACGCCAGTGGGCAGCACCAGGGTGGGGACCTCCTGCCAAGGTGCTAGCAGAGCCTCAGTGTCCCTGGCATCATCCCAAGCTCTCTGGGGACCACAGTGGGGGTGACAGGGGACTTCTGGCTCTGTGCTCACAGGGACCATCCCACAGGTCTGAAGACTTCAAGGACTTCCTAAGGAAGTCCTTGGAGAAGAGCCCTGAGGCACGGTGGTCAGCCAGCCAGCTCCTGCAGGTGGGTAGCACTCATTGCCACCTGCCTGGGGTGGTAGGACCCATTCTCAGTGCTGTCCCTGCTCACCTCCCTCACTCCCACCCAGCACCCCTTCGTGGCGGGCATCTCCGACAAGCGACCACTCCGGGAGCTGGTGGCCGAAGCCCGGGCTGATGTGCTGGAGGAAGATGATGATGAGGAAGGTCTGGTCCCCTTGGTGCGTGAGTAGCGGCTGGCTGGGGTGCAAGATCCCTCCAACACTTTCCATGAGCTTGTTGAGCCTCACTTCTCCCCTGTTGTCCACCCCACAGCCTGGGCAGGAGCATGGAGAGTCCTCCTGCCCCCCAATGCCAGAGGGTCCCCTGGAGCATCAGCCTCTGGACACGGTGGGGAGAGTTGGCAAGGAGCCGGGCATCCTATCTGATGTCTGCATGGTGGCAGAGCCCAGGACGAAGAGAGCATCTGACTTCTTGAAGCAAATGAGGAGGAGGTCTGAGCCCGTGGGCTCCATGAGACTCCCTGCAAAGAGGCCATCTGAGTTTCTGAAACTGATGCGGCGCAGGTCGTTTTTTGGAGGAATGAAGTCCCAAGAAACAGCTAAGGAGGAGCATGGGGCAAAGCCAAGTGGGTTGGAGATGATGGTGCTAGATGGTCCTCAAGGGACATCATCTCCAGCAGAGGCAGGAGGAGAAACTCAAGGGTGTCTGGAGAAGGAGACCAGCCATCTGGGGACCCCCTGCAATGCAGCCAAGCTCCCCTTGGGGCCACGGCGGGCAGGAGACCTTGCTGAACTGCAAGAGCTGAAGGCAGAGCAGGCTGGAGCTAAGGTAGAGCCCCGGGAAGAAAGCCAATGTGCCAACACATCACCGGTGGCTGAAACACTCACGGAGGGACAGCCTGCAGCCCAACCAAGCCCCATTTCAGCCCCCAAAAGCAATGTCAAAAAGGGGTCAAGCCGAGACTCGACTTGTAATTCACCAGCCCTGCCTGTACTCACGGATGGGGACTGGTGCAGAGGCTTGGCCATGGGGCAGCTCGTGGCAGCCCTGGACCTGTGGACTGCAGCGACCAAACCCCAGAGCTTCAAGTCAGTGCCGGAGCATCAGCACTGGGTTACTCGGTCATTGGTAGACCTGAAGGTTGAGGTTGGCTCCACTGGGGCTGAAGGTGGCCTTGGGAAGGATGGCAATGGAGTAGGGAGGGCACCCATGGGACCTGAGGGTGCTGGAGAGCTGGGGGAGACTGAGCTGGTGGAGGAGAGGGTGCCATGGGGTGAAGAATCGCTGATGCCCAGTGTGAGAGAGGAGGTTGTAGTGGAGTCCGATGTGCTCAAGGGGTGGCAGGAGCCCCCGGCCAGAGAGAGGGGCAGCAGGGAGAGAAACTCAGCTGTGTGTGAGCCCATCCCTGACCCCCTGGACCTGGTTGAGCAGGAGGTGGGGAGGAATGAGGAGGAAGCGACAGACAACGCTGAAACTGGGGTGGAAACTTCTCCCGAGGAAGCCCCAGTGCCAGCAGAAGTGGAAGCAGATGTTGTAAAAGGGTGTTTAACTGGAGATGGTAATTCAGCAGCAGATGCAGACAGACTGGGG